ATTCTTTTTAAATGTTAATTGATAATCATTCAAAAACTATTATGTATAAGTGTGTAAGCTTCCTGCCATAAATGAACTTAAAATGGAAATTAGAATATTTGTTTCTTAAGAATTTTGTATTAATAACATATCTGAGATGATGTGATTAAAATTTTAATTGTAAACTAACTTGTGCCTACTTCTTACGAAATTTTCAACTTCTACATTCGCTATAGAATATAGTCAACAGTCGGTGAAATATAAAATACAAAACTAAATAATTTATAATCTAAATTTGCTAAATATAAGAGACAACAATTTCCAAGAGAAATTACATTTAAATTACAAGAGTAAAATATGAAAAATTAAAAAAAGAAGAACAAACTATTTCAATCCAAAAGTTAAACCTTTCTGAAGTTAACGATCCAGGTGAAGTTTAATGAACCAAGCTATTTAATATCTAAATCCTTTACATGAATATTTTTCACGTAAATATATTCATATATTTAACAAAACCTTTGATACGAAATTAATGTAGAGAATTTTTTGAAAGAAAACACATTCGCATAGCCAAATTTTATAAAGATGAATGCACAGTTTTACAGATGACCATCACAGATGATGGTTATCGAATTAAAAAGAAAAAAAAAAAAAAAAATTTTACGAGCAAATTTGCAGAGAAACCATTAAGACAAAAAATTAATTAATCGAAACTTTATATAAGAGAACGCGTTTATGTACCTGTCTAGAGATACATGTACGCATGTACAAGAGGCAGGCTCGCGTGAAATCCTAGGACGTAATTCAAGTTTCAAATATCGATCGTGCATGCACGTGAAACGTATTCAGGAGCGATCGTGGCACTCTTATCGGGTGGATAGCGTTTCGCGTGAATCACCTGACGACGTTTAACGACGTACAGTAGCTAATTTGTCATACGGCCGCGGAGCACGGTGACACGCGTTGAAGTAATAACACGCGTTGCTGCAGTTAACGCGGCCGTCAGGCGTGCACTTTAAACGAGAAACGCAATCAATCTCCTCGAGGGAGAATCGAGGAGAATCCTTGATATCCCGTGCACGTTCTAACATTCTAATTTTCGGCCGGATCCTCTCGTAAACAGATCGTTGAAAAAGGAACGAGAGGGAAGAGACTGTCAGCGTTGCGAGTTTTATTTTCTAACGAACGCATTTTTCTTATTATGCGGCGGTTTATTTTGTTGTCATTCGTTTCGGAATTTCAAGTCGTAGGGTATTCATTAGACGATACGATATCAATTATTTTATTATTAATAATTAGAATTGTCAGACCTTCGGTCATGTAGCAGAATTCTTTCAATATTTATAACTGCGGTGGATTATAAAATTAATATATTTCATCGTTGCACAAGCGTTATTTCATTATTTTCAGTTTTGAAACACACAATGAAATTGATTAATATTGAATTAAAATTCTATACAATATTAAACGAATAGAAACTAAATATTAAATATTAAATATTAAATGTTAAACAAATATTTATAGAAATTAAATTTACACAAATTAAATATACATTTATAGAAATTAAATTTATACAAATTCGTATTCATTTTAATTAAAAAAGTATATTTATTACGAATTCTTCGTTTTGTAGAATACTATTTAAATTTTGCAATTCTGAAGCAAGTATTTCCTAAAATTTTGACACTGTTTGATTATCAAATTTTGTTTGCAAAGGTTATTTAACGAGATGCGACAGTAATTCTACAATTTCAATTTTAATTTATAAATTCTATAAAATTTATAATTCAACCAAAAATACATCGTTTCAATGAGCAATCGTTGGCAATCAATCATAAAAATAATTCCTATAAGTGTCTAAAATAATCCTGCCACTAATCGTACATCTAATCTACTCCAAATTGAGTAGCTTACCTAACTTTCTATCAATCGCGAAGAATTATAAAATATTTCCGGGATCAAATAACGTATCACATAATCAGTAGAAAGATTAATCAGCTTTATCTTTCTATTTTCGTACGTTGATTCAGTTTCAAAAAAAAAAAAAAAAAAGAATTTGAAGCCCTCTCAACGATAGAATAAACGTCGATCCATTACCTACGATATTTCATCACAATACAGGCGTCCATTATTACATCATCGGAATATTATTAATAATTCCTTGAATAAAATTTTCGACAGATATTTTAGAAATATCTAATTTAATAAAAAAAAATGGTTTAAAACAATTCATATTTCATTAAAGCAAATATAAATATTCGTTAAAAATGAATATCAAAGTATATTCTATCATTTTTCTATCATCGAATCAATATATCATCTATCTGACAATAAATAAATAATATTTTTTAATATTATTGTATATTTACGCGCGATATATTGTATATTGAACGAATAATATATTTTCCAGTGTTGTTTTTTAATTTCATATTAAAAATCATTATAATAATATCTGATCTAAGAGCGAATCACCAGAATATATTCTACTGGCAAAATTTTGCGTGAAATTTCCTATAAATGAATAAAAATTCGACCAAGCGAGTGTATAATAATAATAATTTTACCAAAATACACAATACGACGTTTCACTCTCGAAATCCATTGTAACAAAGTCAGAAGCTACACATTCGTAATGACACACCCCATTCCCCCGCTGTTAAATCATTAAACAAATGAACCGCCGATTTCCAAATTCATATTTACTTTGAAATATCTATTGTTACGTCCCCCCGTGCCGACGATACACAACCAAACCGTTCGTACGTCATTCCGTTGAATAAACCAAATTTCTCGACGCGAAACACTCGGTACCGTTTCCACTGGTCGAGTGAATCAGCCAATCTATTATCAGAATCGAGACGTAAAAGGTCACCGACTGCACTGACTTCTTTCTAGAATCCTCCTAGTCGACCTTTCTACTTTTACGGGTGGCAGAGCGTATTCGAGTATCAGTTTCGTGACGATCCAACGGTTTTTTCAAAGCCTGTCGTTCACTTTGTGCTTCGAGTACACGTCGAACAGAATTTAGATGTTAATCCTCCTGTAGGAAACGTCGTTTACGAATCGTTTTGAACGAGGTTTTATTCGCGAGCTTCTATATTCGAAGGTTTGACTTGAATTTTTTGAAATAGCAAACAATTTGATAAAATTGAAAATCCTGGAAACTTACCGAAGATTTTGATTATTTGAACGATTTGTCTTTATAGATATTTTCGATACATAAAATATTAGAGAAAGTTTGGAAAAATGTTCATCAAAAGATCTCTAAGATTTTCGATATATAATCCGGCGGGATTATATTTATATCGAAATGATAGTTGCGTATTATTTATTAGAGCTATCATTATAGACGTTTTACAAGTAATATGTAGAATTTAAAATAATTGTAAAATAGAATTTTATTATTTTAATATTATAACAATTGAAATACTACTGACTTTCAAACTTTCAGAGTCAATTTTTACAATTGCTTAGGAGATACGAATATTCTTGTCAAAATCAAGATGAAAACACCAATTCTATAAACCTACTCATTTCAATTATTATTTAAATTATTGTGATTTGTATCTTTTATATCTTGATGCGGTTGTTTCGGCATTTTTGTTAATCAAATCGCCGTAGAAGTGTTAATACTTTCGAGATTTCTCAAGCAAGACTCTGAAGAGTTTCAGCATTTCGAATCTTGTTCAACCGCGCATCGAAAACCACGGCGAACGAAATCGACAGATCGATAGAGGCGACGATACCGACGCTGAGACTTTCCTGTCGGAGGCGCGATGATTCACCGACGGTCTCCTTCAAGGACAATCTTTATCGTTGCCCTGACACATGACGACACTTATCATCGACCATCACCGTCGGCACCCTAACAAACACCTTAAACAACGAATCTTCCGAAACCGATTGCACAGTTTTCTATAACGTTCGCGATTCATTTTCGCAGATATTTCTACTGTGTGGTATAGTCATATTATTCTGTCGAATTCAAAATCAAAAGGGCTGTATCCGTAACTCTCGCTTAAATCAAAGTTGCGTAAAGATAGTTACACATATAATATTTATATATTATTTATGTATATTATAAAAAAGAAATCTTAAAGGTGAGGTTCATATTTCGGATGTACGTGTGTGAAACCGATGCCTGATTGTTAAATATTCCTCGACATTTTTCTAAAATTGTTGGTCGAACCACCTTTTGATCAGGTATGCCCAATTTTGAACTAACACGACAGTATTATACGATGGTATCTAGTATAATTTCTACTATGGAACGATATTTTACTTTTCTGTATTATTCTACTCTTTGATGATTTCTATTGCGACAATGTAAGTTTTATAGTACGATAGTATAGTTCCGTTATATGGTAAAATAACATGCACGGCACGTGTTATCAATGATCATTCTCGGTGGGGGCATCAGAAATCGAGTTATCGTGAATTATAATTTATACCATGGTATCATGGCGCACTATCAAAAAATGAATGAAAATCTACGTTATATACAACACGCACGACAAACAATTAACCTTTGAATGACGGCAGCTGGGTCAATTTTCTGACTCGTGGAAATATTCGTCACGTTTACGTGTTCTAAGTTACAATTTATACAAATTATTACATTATATTGTAAATTTCATTTAATATTATTATTATTATTAATAATATTGTAATTATTAATAATATTGTAAATTTCATAATAAATATAATTATTAATAATATTGTAAATTTCATTTGCCTATCTAAAATAGGACCCATTCAGTAGAAGCTAAATTTAGTGGCAATATTGAATGAACTGTCGCACGTTGATCTCACTCGTACGAATGTGAAATCCAATCTACGCTCCATTTATTTAGAAATTAAATCTTCTTGCTAAATTAATTTAACAAAGTTCTACTCTAATCTTACATTCCTGCAACCACAAGCTCTCTATTGTTCCATCAGAACGAGGCAACACATTTCGTTCAATTCTCCGCGCTCGATCTTACGCAAATGAAACCGACCCAGCCTCGATCAAACGAAGGTTAATCAACGTCAGAGCGTTCGTTCACCTGTGTCATCAGCCGGTCGGCTCCGGTGCCCTCCTCGTCCTTGAAGATGATGTCCGCGTTGTAGTTGGGCACGAGGTCCTGGAACCTGGAGTCGTTCCTGGACACGCGGCCCTCGCTGATCCCGCTGGCCGGCAGCGTGTTCTCGCTAACGTTCGGCACATGCTGCTTGAACACCAAAGGCGTGAGCTTCCTGAGACCAGGACGGCGTCCGCCGCCCCTGCCGGGCCCGCAAGCCAACACCAAGCCAGCACCGTTGTCCAGCACCGGTAGCCAAAGGCACAGTATCAGCAGGAACACCTGGAGCAACGAGGGTGTCGTTGCTCGCCTCCTAAGCGCGCAGTGATGGCTCGCCTGAAGGCCGTGACGACAATGACGATGATGCACCATAATCACGTGGCTCTGCCTCGTGAGGACGACCCTGTTCGGTCACTGGCAGCTGGTGCACCTCGCGGGCCTTGCTGCGCTCGTGTTCACCGAGCACCACGTCGACGGTATCACGGAGTCCTCGCCACCACCACCGCCACTGGCTGTCCTCCTCCTCCACGGCTGACAGAAGCACGACGACGACGACCTAGACAACAACGACGACGACCTAGACAACAACGACAACAACCAGAAGGACGACGATGACGACGACGACGACGCGTTTGACGACGAACGGCTGCCGGTCCTTCTTCTCCTCCACTTGCCACTGACCTCACTCACGCTTAACCATAACCAGGGCATCACACACCTCCCCTGCACGCACTCTTATCACCGTTGTGACCGTCGTAGCTGACCGTCTAATCACCACCCGCGAGAGCAGTAGTACAAACCACCAGCAACACGGAGGATCGTTGCACAATGTGTCGATGGTTGATCGATCGACAACAGACTGAACAGAAAGCCACACTGACACGAGAACCTCCTTCGACTTCCCTTTCTCCTACTTTCTTTCTTTCTTTCTTTCTTTTTTTCTTTTTTTTTTTATCCTTTCTATCGGTGGCCGTGAAGCGTTATTGATAAAAATTGCACGAAGTCCACCTGCGATCGACTTCGGGTTAACTGTCACGCGTCGATAACGCGATAAACTCGAAAGGTATGTTCTTCAGCGTCAAGTGTTTTCATCGTCGTGCGTCAACGATCAACAGGAACCATCGAACCATTCTCGTCCCGTGAACTGAGAACAATCTTCGACTCGGCAACACACGTTCCCCAATTTCGAAAAAAAGAAAACCGCGCGCGATCAAGCGAGAACGACCTCCGAAAACGGGGAGACGAAACGTTTCGTTGCCCCCGGTAAACGATATGCGTATATCGGTCTAGCTTTTTTCAAGTAACGCCCGATCGAATCTGACTCACTTGACCGAACTCGATAACGCCGAGCAGCAGTCCGGAAGCTCAGTGGCGCACGTTTTCCGGACGAGTCGGTGGTGGGAAATGCGGGATGGATTTCGTTGGGTACCCTGCGCGTTGTTCCTTCGCGGCCTGTTCTTCGCCAGCAGGGTGCCCCTCTTCCTGCCCCCACCAAGGTGGCCAACGGCCGGCCGGACCGCTGGCGCTGGTTGCAGCTAGCTGCTGGCCCCCGGCACGGCTCTCACGGCCTCCGATCTTTCAAGGTGGTGGGGAAACGATCCTGGCCCCACTACGACAGGGCCTTGTGGTGCGCGTCGGTGACGTTTCTGGGCCCAGAGAGTCTCGATTGGTCGGGGCGGGGCGTGCGCGAGGCGAACGAAGACAGGTGCACCACGCTGGACAGAGATCAAATCGATGGAAGAAAGACGGAATTACAGGTAAGAAGAAGGGCAGGATGAGAAAGAAAGAGACAGAGTGAAAGATAGATAGAGAAAGAGAGAGAGAGAGAGAGAGAGAGAGAATCTTTTCAGTTTTCTCCCCGTTCGATTCGGTTTGATCGTTTGGTCGAACTGTCTTCTCTCTTCTGTTGCTCGTTCGCCAACGCTGCTCGTTCCTCTTTCGAATCTTTCCGTTTCTTCGGCTTCTTTGCCACGCAGCCTGTCCCTCTTCCTTTTACGTAGCGAGCCTCTCCTCTGCTCTCCTCCTCCTCCCCCCCCCCCTCCGCCCGTTTCGATTGATCCTTCGTTTTTCGTCCTTTTTCGTTGTCGTCGTTGTCGTCGCAACAAACGTTCTACCTCGTTACTCGCCTCACCTTCTCTCCTCTCGAGAGAGGTTTCCACTCTCGCCCACGGAAGGGGACGCTTACGCTCCAAGAAAGTACCCGCGCGCGTTCTGCGCGCAGATTCTCTCAATGACCGTGTCGTCTCTCTACCCCCGAGAGAGGCGGCAGCGTGTACGTCTCGAGGCGTAGGGTGGAACGGTGACCTTCACTTCTTCGTCTCAAGTCTCGCTCTTCTTTACGATTTTCGATATTTTACTCCTCCCCCCCTCTCTCTCTCTCTCTCTTTCTTTCTCTCTTGAGCCAGGTTAGTCGTACTTTTGTCAGCCGCTCGATTACCGCTTTTGTCGCATTCCTACGCCGTGTCGGCTATTAAACGCTATTCCTCGAGTTCCTGCCGGCGAGCGACGCGTTCGACTCGTCGCTCATCTTCCGCGTGCAATTGGACGTTTCAGCTTGATGCTTCAGGGTTACACGGGTCTCGCGGCTTCGCTCAACACGTCGACTGCCACGCGGATTTAATATTATTTCATTCGTGCGTGTCACGACAGACTGAAATACAGCGTTGTTGAAAATAAACGTTCAATGCGACAACTCATTGATTGATTAACTGCTAAGAAACTGCGATCAATGTAAAAATACAATTACAATAATAAGCTAATGACCAACTAAATTGTAATAACTGTAATAAGCTGAGGATAATAAACTGCTAGCAGCTTTCGCTTAAAATATTCCACCTTCTATCTGACAATGTCCGACGACGATTCTGTCTGACAATTATTGACAGTGTTGTCGTCGCGTTGTTGAATGATTCTTCTAGTCGATGAATTTTATCGTATTTTAATTATTTGAAGAAGTAATATCAGTCGTCGATAACCGTGGCAATCAACGTGCAAACGAAGTACGAAGGAATGTGTTATTACTGTCGATGAAACAAATAAGAGGACAGCGTACAGACGAAAGATTCGATCGAACTGTGGAGGGAAGTAATCGATCTTCAATTACAAGAGGCACTTGTGGTTATCGACTTTGACACACATAATCGCTGATCCACGTAGGAGATTATCCGTGTTTTGCTTGGTTTTCTTTCTTCTTTTCACTTGCTTTGAGAATTACTTGAGGTTCTCTCGTGGTGTTTAACGAATGATATAAATCGTCAATTTGATATAATCGTACATTTACGAACATTGCGGAAAGTGTACTGTTCACTGTTGAATTATATGGAAAGAGTTAGTATTAATAATCTGTCAAAATTGTGAAAAATCTGCTATTGAAACGCGATGGAAATAGTCAAACGACGGCATTGATTTTGATTGATCAGCGAGAAAAAAGTGATTCGATTTTTTGTAAGAAGAATGAAGCAATCTCTTCACAATGACGGACATTTGTAGGCGATGCGAGTAACCGCGCATGCATCAGTCATGCATTTGTGCCTTATACAATGTATACACTTTCTCAAGACCGACTTTTCTTTCAAGTATTTCGAAAATATGCCCGCCCGTAGCGCACGAGATTCCAACAATAGCGGAAGGCATGATTCAACGGTGTCTTTCTAAAATTAATATCCCTTTTTCCAACGAGATGGACTCGCGTAACAATATTTTTGCCAGTAACAGTGTCGCGTGTAAAATGTCAAAATTGGAACTTCAAATCTTTGTCTTTAAAATGGGAGTTTCCTTGCGACTTACGTATTTGAATTATTTTAAAAGAATTAGAAACAAATTAAACAAAATCAGACTTTGCTTGTAACTTTTAAAATAATTTTCAATGAATAATTTCCTATTATTTGAAGAATCCTATCAATAAAATAATTTTCGTATGAAACTCACTTCTATATTGCAAATTAAATAAACAAATTATATAAATTATATTTTTACATGATGCAAATACGTAGTATTTTATTATTATTTTTACTATTATTTTTTTAATATTTTTATGTTAATACTTATTACTTTAATATTGTGTGAATTGTATTATTTACTGTAATTTATACAGATTGTTATGAAACTCTCCGTAATTTCGTGACTTTTGATCCGTAACCGAGACGATTACCGTGCCGTCACCGAGACGTACATACTGAACGTGTTAAATATCAAAAACAACGTCTCAAATATGCATTAACAATTTAACTTCGACTATATCTACGCGCTACTTCTATAGATTGACAATAATTACAACTCTCCGCATAGATATATATCCAGCGGTCGACAAATCTTGGAATGATTACCACCTGCTCCAAAATTAAATTACATAATTTAACAGGGCAATAATTACGTTTGTACGCGTATTTCAAAATATCGTATCGTAATATCTATTAATACCTAAATCATAAATCAAAATTCTGTAATCATCATCTTTAAACGAAGAATATTAAAGTTTGTTCTCAAATATCACGTCGTTGTTATTATATTAATATTTGTATCACTTGCTACTTTACATTGTTATTATGTTAATTGAAATAAATACGACATGAATTGATAATTAATAATATGTTACTTCAATGAGATATATATGTATATATTACAAAATTCCGTAATTAAGACGTAAACAAAAAATTTGAAGTTCGTTCTCGAATGTCAGGTCTCGTATTGTTATATTAATATTAATACCTATGTCTACATCAATCAAAATAAATACGAGAGTCTCTTTTCTTTAGTATTTACATGCCTCTTATGAAATAATACGTATATTATATATACTACGTCGTACTATTATACCTACGTATTTATACTACGTATTTATACATAGATATATTTCCACTTTTTACCACATTTTTCGTAACACCACAAAACTAATAATAATTCGACCTTTGGACTTTTAACCAATTATAGATTTAAAAATTGCAGAAACGTGAAAATATACGAAACACAGTATTTATGTAAACGATATGCCTAGTGAACGAAACGAATGTTCAGTGAATGAAATGAATTTCTGCTTGTTGTATAACGATACGAATCGTAGTCAAAAACTCGAGCGATCAACCAGCCAGCTATTGTTAACCTGTTGACAATCACTTGTTTCAAACAACTAACGAGAAACGAGCCAGTCTCGAGAGGAAAGAAGAGAGAAGAGATGGTCGGTAGGGGACGCCGAAAATAAAAAAAAAGAAATATCGACGCCCGAGTTATCGAATCGCGTGGAACGTGCACGCACGTACATACATGCATGGAATAATACCTGATACGATCGCGACGATAGCCGGCGCTCTACGAACTGTGAAGAATTTTGTGATGAGGAACGCGAACCACCAATGGAAACGTCACCAGCCACAGCTATGAGCCAACT